CGGCCCGAAACGCCGGCGGGGTCTGCAGAGTGTCCACGAAGCCCTCCCTGGCCGCGTCGGGGAGGACGGCGAAGCCGGTGCCGTCCCTCAGGTCCGGGTCAGCGCCGCTCATCAGCAGCCGCCGGGCGATCTCGGGGTTCCCCAGCTTCATCACCTGGGAGAGAAAGAGGGGGGGCTGAACACCGCGGGGGGTGGGGGGTGTGCTCCAAAACTGGCCCTGGATCCTCATTCCTCATCCCTGGGTTTTCCCCGCTACAAGGCACCAGAACATCTTTTTTTTAAAATGTATTTTGCATTAAACTCGGTGAAATGGTGGAAGATGCTATCATTTCGGTGGTAATAGCTTTCTGTCTCAGAGAGATCAATGTCTGAAACAGGCATTACAATGGGGGCATACAACTTCTTGTTGTTTTTTTTTAAACATGGCAAAGAAGGGAATTAAGAATCTCAGTTTCTTAACACACGAAAATTAAGTATGGTTAGGTGTTATTTGCCCAAGTATTGAGACACCTTTGCACTGCTGTTTAAATTCATTAAACATCAAATATGGGGTTCCTGAGGAACAGATATTTTACCTCAGCAACAGCAAATGTAGAATGTTTTTATAAGCTTTCAGGTGTCTACATTGTCTGTGCATTATCATAAAACAAATATTTGGTCTGTACCATAGCTGTGTCTGCTAAGAAAAATAAATGCTAGAATAAATTTTTCTCCCCAATATTTGTGCTTCATTATGTCACCCAAAAAGGAGAAGTTAAAAGGAATGTTTCAAAGTTCCAGAAGTTTCCTTCCAAAACCAGTATATCACATTATACTTTAATAATTTCACTACAAGTAAACTGTGACTATATTCTGTTGTTAGAAACACCCTTTAAAATAAAGCAAACAACAACAATAATTGGATTTTGTGACTGTTCCTTGCAGGAGAAAAAAAAGCTTCTTTAAATTTTCTCAACTGTGACATTAAATTATCATAATTAGAAAACAAATCTCTCTTATTTAGGACTTCAGAGCTTGCACCAATTTCCCTAAATTCCTCATTTTTTGTTTTCTCAATGATTTTTGAAAAAATGAACATAGTAACATATAATCTCCAGCCTATAGGCAATATTTTCCTGTTTTTGTCATTAGTCTCATTATAAGTGTCAAATTCGGAAAAAAAAAAATCCCTTTCCTATTTTCTTAGAAACATCCACACAATGATTTGAAAATCTTGGTTAAAAAAAATAAATCTGCATAAACGAGCACTACAGCACCTTAGATTTAGCATAATGTACAATTTCTACAGGGGTTTTGCTGAAAAGCTCTCCTGGTGAAAAATAATTGATATACACTTTTAAAGAAAACACAAGCTGTAATAAATGTAATTACTACAGCGTTTGGTCTGTAAAGCAGCCCGGTATATTATAACTACAGGGAAGAGCAAAAGCACAGGTAAGACAGGCTGGGATTCAGGGAAAGGGATTTCTCTGTGCCCCAAGGCTCCAACTCCGTATATGCCACTTCTTTCACCTCTGGCCAGAGATGGAAGCAATGTAAAAGCAAACAAGGGCATTATGATCTCTTTTTCTTTAGTAAAATATGGACATTATGGGGTGTTTTTGAGGGCCCAAGCTGTGTTATTTGTGAATTTAAAACATGAGTTTGGTTTAAGTGGGAGTTTTCTGTCTTCAGGCAAAGGGACTGAAGGCTTCAGTTAAGGATGTGAGGTGGGAGAAAAATAATCTAAAAGGTGATGCCATTGGGACGTGGGCTACAACTGTGCAGCAAATGCCCTTTTTTTCCCAAAGTTTCACTCGGGGGGAGGGAGGCCGAGAAGGAGAAAGCATTAATTTAATAAATCTGACGAAGTGCACAAGGGCAGGACATGTATTTTGAGGCCTGCATAGGTACACTTCATCAGAAACAAAAAGCACAGAGAAAGACAAGCCGAGCAGCTGCTTAATTAAACATAAATGCAGAAGAAAAATATAAATTCAGTGCTATTAATATGGGGGCATTCCCTCCGTTTTAACTGAGAGAGAGATTAAGGAGAGATTATCTCGGCTGGGGAGAGTGCACTGACAGAGCTCTTTCGAGCATGGCCACGCACCCACAGCACATTTTGGGATGAGACATATTGAAAATAAGTCGACAAATTCTCCTGTTTTGATTTTTGTTGTGGTTCATTAACTCAGTTATGATTAGGCAGCGATAAGAAGTATTGTTAAGGTGTGGATGATTGCTTAATATAGCTGGATGCTATGGCATTGTGTAAAATATGCCTTAAATCAGGATACGGACAGTTAGCTGTTTTTAGGAGGAAAAAATATATTGCTGTGGGACAAATCGGTTTTCAGCCCTTGACCCGAGGATAAACCAGCTGGCTAAATGTTTTCTGCTTTCTTAAAAAAGTTAGTTTGTGTGTAAGTTTTTAATTTAAACCCTTTCGCTCTCTTAAAAGTTGCTGCAAGTGCCTGCATTGCCATGCGATGCCCCATTTAGGTGCTGAGAGGACAGAGAGGAGCTCATGGACACCCAGCTTCAGCGAAATTGTCAAAAAAAGGTCATTCCTGCCTTTTTTTAGCAAGAGGTGCTTATTTTCCAGCTCTAACATTTTGATGTCAAGCCAAAAAAAGCTGTAAATATTTCGAGCACATTCGCAAACTTTATGCTGCTATAAAAGCCCAATTTCAGAAATTATTATCCTGGTTTTGGGGGAAGCAGGGGGAGAGACGTTAACAAATGATTTTTCTAATGTGTGAAATTAAAAAAAAACTATAGGTCTAGTTCCACATTTCATTACTTATAACTTAAGTACAAATAACCACACATATTTTCTCCAGATTTATCAATCACTTCTTTCACTATTTAGCAGGTATTCTAGCCTTTTCGCCATCATTATCTGATCTTATTAAAAGCAAACTCTTCCCTCAGCTCAAATAGCAGCTTGGATGAGTTCCAACCGCCTGCCTGCACAGCCACACACTTAAAAATTAGGACATAGCACCCTATACGATCAGAAAGGAAATAACTGGAACCAGTGCCCTCCTAGCCGATCTAAAAAAGCAAAAAAAAAATAACCCTTAATTATGAACGAAAAGGCAAGAGATTGAGCCGGACCCCTGCCCTGTCGGCTAAGTCCTGGTGCACATCGGAGGTCCTGGGATCCTAGCAGCACGAATCCCGATGAGAAAGGTCATTCCTCACAAACAGCTTGGAAAGGAAAAGTACCGTCTACAGCAGAGCCCAGCACCAAGACAAGACAAGCTTTAACAGCATATTGCAGGAAAAAAATACATATATATAGAGAGAGAAGAGGAAAGAAATCCTAAGCTTCAGAGCACAGCACATTTGTGTTTACAGACTTGCTACGAAATCCTGCTCACCTAAGCTGATTTATTTTCATCTCAGCTCGTTCATTCCTTGCCTCCTCACCACGAAGTTATAAAAAATTAGCAAACTCGTAGCCCGTTTGACATTGAGGGTGATCCCCGATTGAAATAATGGTTTTGACCAGTTTTATTTCAAGTACGTCATTTTAGGGAGTTGGAGCCACTAAAGTTATAAAATATGGCATCCAACGAGTTTGAAAAACCACTCGAATTTCATCCACCAGCCTGCTTAAAACGTTGTCTTTTTTGGAAACCCGGGTCACGTAGGTACCAGTGATGAAATATTTTCTCCCTTTCTGGATACCAACCTGCAGCGCAGTTCTCCCAAATCCATTTTGTGCATTGACGTTTACATTCTCTTGCAACAAATTAGTAAGTTGCACTAGGTCCCCCTTGGCAGCCGCGGACGCCAGCTCGTTCCCAGAAGGCTCGGCCATTCTTTAGGGTGACTGACGATCGGAAAAAAGATGAGATTTTTTTTTTTAACCAGGCATGGCATCGGAGACTGACAGAAGGATTGGGATGGTTAATCTTCTGGAGTAGACCTTGTAGTAAATACTCGTAAAAAACCTCCTTGCCAAGAGCCCGCCCCTAACTCACACGTGATTATTCAGCAAAACTGCAGCTCCGCTTGAAAGAAGATTTCTTTGCTTCCACATATAGAGTAACTCCTATTAAAGACTTTGGCCACTTTCGGGAGGGAACAGATTAATAGCTAGGCAAGATATTATATATGTCGTAGGTAACATATACACGTATACCGGAGACTCACTCGAACCTGAGATCTCGGAAGAAGAAGACAACCCACCCTGCTCACAGTCGGGATCTGAGACTTTAGCAGCAACAGCTCCGAGGAAAAAAGTCTTCCGTAGCAGTG